ATACATAAAGTTTATATTTGTATGGATTTCACAAAGTAATATATAACAATTTTCACAATATCGTTATGTTGCTCATGATATTAAAATATTTAATTAGCTTTTATTTAATAAAATTACCATGCCATACGTTTTAAAAATGGTAAGGCGTTTGGTGAAATTCAAATTCCTGATTGCTATTCGATGTACAGGTATGTCAAACAGTACAAGGTCTAATAATTGATGGGGATATTTTTATATTAATGATTTTAATTCAAATTTATTAACTTATGTTGCCAAATTAATTATGGACTTAAACTTTTCATTTGCAAATTAGTCAGTTCCATTTTGTTTTATTTTATTTTCCAGATTGGACTAAATATATCTTACCATTCGTCGTTAAACTTGTAAATTTTAACGTGAATACAGGCATAACAAACAACCGAATTTTAATTCAAAATTTCATAATTTTCTATTTGATATTTTTTTTATAAACTGAGTGTATAATGGGTTGGGTAAGATACTTCTGGACATGGTTGTCTAGTAATACAGGCATTTTTTTTTATCATATGTGGAACACAATGAATTATAAAGTACAATGGTATAGTACTTTCATATAATTTTAATGGTGTCATTTTTTTTCTTTTAAGACGTAGATAGTCAAACTTTAGTAGCTTATATGGACACTTGAAAAAGTTTAGATGACACTGTCTATGTATTATTGTGTGTTTCTGAATAAATATGTTTAAACTGAAGAATCTGGTAATAATTTTGTTTTTATTACCAGATTTTTTTATTGTCAAATTCAAGGTCGTATGAAATTGTTTCAACGCTTATACCTGATGTCCATCTTTGTCTACCCTTTTGTCAACGTCAATTCAACGTTGATGTTTTACGCTAATCCAACGTCGATATTTAAGTCCATCTACCGTTCAAATCCAACATTTATCCAACCTCTTGTCGTCGTTGGTACTTGACGTTGTTTCAACGTTAATATTTAACGTCGATCCACCTTTTAAATCCAACATTTATTCAACCTCTTGTCGACGTCCGTACTTGACGTTGTTTCAACGTTGATATTTGACGTCGATCCACCTTTCAAATCCAACATTTATCCAACCTCTTGTCGACGTCGGTACCTAACGTTGTTTCAACGTTTATATTTGACGTCCATTCACCTTTCAAATCCAACATTTATCCAACCTTTTGTCGACGTCGGCACTTGACGTTGTTTCAACGTTGATATCTGACGTCGATCCACCTTTCAAATCCAACATTTATCCAACCTCTTGTCGACGTCGTACTTGAAGTTGTTTCCACATTGAAATTTGACGTCGATCCACCTTTCAATTCAAACAGTTATCCAACCTCTTGTCGACGTCGGTACTTTACGTTGTTTTAACGTTGATATTTGACATCGATCCACCTTTCAAATCCAACATTTGTCCAACCTCTTGTCGACGTCGGTACTTGACGTAGTTTCAACGTTGAAATTTGATGTTGATCCGCCTTTTAAATCCAACATTTATCCAACCTCTTGTCGACGTCAGTAATAATATTTTACGTCGTTTCGACGTTGATAATTGATGATGCAATGATAGACGTCAATCCAACGTTGCACTGATAGACGTCAATCCAACGTCGACATTTGGCGTCGATTCACCTTTCAAATCCAATGTCTATTCGAAGTTGCTTCGACGTCGGTAAATGACGTTGTTTCAACGTTAACTCGACGTTGAAATGTCTGCTGGGCCATGTATGTAATCACCAATTAATTAATTAATATAAATGGTGACTTTTATTTCAGGATGTCTCTACTAAAATTAAAAAAACTCAATCTAGTGTGGTGGGTGTAGGGAAGTATTTTGTTTGTTTGAAGCCTTACTGTGTGACTGTGTCTGTGGCAGTTGATTAAACAAACAGAAAATTACCTGACTTTCGTCAAAGTTGAATATAATGTTTTCTTTACGTTTTAAATTTACTGGTCCTAGGTTCTGATTAGCAACTGGCTCCAAATAAATGATATGTACTGCAGTAGTTACTATGATGACGGTTATTAAATACAGGTCTCCCTCCAATTAAAGTCCACTTTTGGGACCGGGTTTTCATGGTCTTTAGCAGCTTTGGTCTCTAGTTACAATAATAAAAATAAGACATAGTCAATAGTCAAACAGAAAAGTGGTCTTTATTTAGAGGTAGTCTTTAATTGAGGGTTTTTCATTAGAGGGAGATCAGTAATCAAATCGGTAGGCCTAGGCCCAGGCCTAGGTGGGTAGCCAGAGAGTTGAAAAATATAAATAGTAACAGATTTGCTAGCGAAGGGAGCACAAAGGCGCACTGGGAACTGAGGGTTTAATGCTCATGCCCTAGGGAAAAAAATCCGTTTTCTGCAATAGTTTGTTGGTGTTATTTGACGTCAGGTTTTTTGGTTTTGTCATGGTTCTATCTAAATACGGATCCTATGCCTAGTTCTACAGTTGCCCTGTGCTGTAGGCCTAGGCCTATGCCTACGTGTATATTAAACTGCGAGGCATTTAATAACAAATGTTCCTTTTCATAGTTTTAAATCAAGAACAAATCTGACAATATCATGATGCATGAGGCAATATGTGCCTTGTCTGTCTCATGCTAGCAGCCCGGTTGAATTTGCCCTGGTACTGGCACATATGCCTAATGTAATTATTTTTACTAGTGATTCTTAGGCATGACGTTTTTTATATTGTTCATGAGAAGTTGCTAGCTATAATATTACAGTTAAGATTTCTAAGTCTGCTTTCAGTGTCGGAACAGGTCACAATGTCATTCACCATTTTGATTGTGCTGAATACTATTTTTGTATTTCCTGTATGACTGCTCATTTGTGGATTTTATATATTAATAGTTTATTAACTTTTCTTTAATTAATATTTTTTGGTTGATGCCATTAATTGATAAATATATGTTTACTTTTAGTTACATGACCTGAGGGAAGAAAGTTCAACAGCATTATTAAATACTGTAAGTCCAGGCTTTATCTTATTATTACTATACAATATTACGTCATTGTTTGTTAATTATTGAAATGGTGGGCTATCAGCACGATATGTTAACCTTGTATGTACTGTATTCGTATGTTTATCATTCCATAATGATCACTTCAAACAGTTTAATTACCTATCATATTTTCATTTATTATTTTCATTATAATTTATTAATACATTGATTTAGAATGGGAATTAAATGTTTTAAGGATGTCATGTATCGCGGCTTCAGACAAGTTATTATAATGTTTTAAATTACCGTGATAATTTTTAATTACCGTATTATTTTTTCATAAATATTTTACATCCACATGTTATTTTAATTATAATTGTGTTTATTCTAATCTGTTGAATTTGTTTATAGGACTAATATTCAGCAGTCAAATAATATATTAACAAAGGTGATCATACGTACGTTTGAAATTAAATCTATTGAGTTGGTGTTACCTTGGGACTTTATCAAAAGTATATATGGTTTTTATAGCTGTAATATAGCAAATGTTTTACTGAGATATTCAAAAGAATATGTTTGGTTAATTTAAGTTTAACAGTAATAAAAAATCACTTCACTTCAGAGAACAATACTAAAAATCATCCTACATGTAGAAATATTAATTATAAAATCAAAGAAGGCCGACTGTAAATTAAATAGACACACTTTTGTGTTCACTTTTTACAGAAACTTGAGCAAGTTTGTAATGAAGAAGATGTAGTTGCCAGAAGAGATTACAACGATGAGGACGACGGCAGTATTATGTGAATGCGTTTGATTTGTAGCACATCCTCTTTATTGGTTTTGATACAACTTTCTACTCAGCAAATGGTTCTATTGTGACAGAACAGCTATAAATTTCCTCTGTCAAGGCTTGATTCAGAGACAGTGTAGCCATCTGCTTTTCTCAATATCCTAGATTTTCAAATGTGCACTATGGAGTTTTTGTACACTGGGCCTCTTGTTTATTTTTGATATTTGTTTGACATTTTTAAATCAATTGAACTTGCCAAATACTGAATAGATGATATGGAACTTGATCTTTTATTAACTGTACTTACAGAAATAGTATAGAATTGTCAGCACTTGACTCTAACTTGATTTTGATTTATTATTTTTTTGAATATTGATTATTGTAAATCCCTTTGTCCTATATTGAAATTGAGCTTTTGCTAAACTACAGTATAACAAAGTACAGTACAGGACGCATTAAAGATTAAAGGATAAACACATAATGCGTATACATAGTGTAAGTAATTTTCGTATTGTTGTCCTCTTTTGTCCAGGAGCATCAAAGTTAACACGATATAGTTGGAATCATACATGTGACCAGAGGCCGACCTAAGGGTATCCACGGTTTAGTGTACAGCGTTTGTTCAAGTTTTGAAAACGCCTTGGAACACCGATCAAACTCAGAAGTTTTACCGTTATTTTGATGTTTTTAAACGTTTTTAAAAAACTCTTAAAAGGTGTTACCAAGACTAAAGTCAATGTTAACTAGAGTTAAAGACTTTGGTATTGTAACACATTTTAAGAATGTTTTAAAAACGTTTAAAAAACATCAAAATAACATTATAATGACGTTTCTGAATGTTAACTTGAAACGTTATTAAAACGCTTTAAAAACTCCACATACAGTAAATATGTTTTAAAACGTAATATAACGTTTTACAAACGTAATTAAAACCCTTTGTACACGTTTTTAAAACGTGATACAAGACCAAAGTCGATGTAACCAGGGTTATTTTTACGTTATAATAACGTTTTTTATAACGTTATTAAAACGCTATTAAAACGTTATTAAAACGCTATCAAAACTCCACAAAATTAAATTTTCGGAACGTTTTACTAAAACGTTTGTTGAACCAAACCCATACGTTTTTATAACGTTTTTTAACGTTAAATTGTTAGACTATACATACTGTATCAATCAAAAGTGTTAAGTCATAGAAATAACATTTTAAAAAATATTGTCGAAAATTAAAAAAAAAACAAAAATAAATTTGACTTACTGTAATCATCAAATTTCCCTGATTCACCTGTAGCCACAACAAGCGCCGATTTCCATTCCAATAATTCCTCCCTGGGATAAAAATAAAATGTTATTGGTGAATGTAAATAGTGTATTAATGGGATTGTCAAATGCATTACATTTGTATAATTAGGAAGAAATATCCATTATTTTATTTTTGGAGACTTCAAGGCAGCGGAGGGCTTAACGAGAATAAAAAAACTTTTCTGAAATTTCCATTTTTTCGTGGCGGCGAGTGCAAAAAATAAAATTTGATTTTTATTTGAAATCATTATTATTAGTGGACGGCGGGCTCGCTAAACAAAAAAAGGAGTCTGGCCTTAGCAACACTATGAAAAATGGCGGAGCTTGGAGGAAATATCTATTGACGAGTCATTCGCTCTTTTATGAAAATAATAGTTTAAAAACACCGTCTTTGAAACAATGGATATTGATTGGTTAATAAAACTACTGGGCTCCCCATGCTATTGTCAATTTGACATTTATTATTCAAAACCACATTAAAACACACATTGGAAGAGGCCTATAGTGATTGATTCAAAGATTTCTTATATACCAATATAAAAAACAACTATGCAGCTACATGGATGAACAATAAGTGGAAGAAGCAACTTAATGCACATTTGGCCTAAGGCTTACCTCTTTATACCTATCCAGTACAGGGGTGGCGCCAGGATTTGCCCAACTGGGGACGGGGGCGAGGTCACTAACGGGAGGGCCGATGCCCCGACAAGGGGTCAGATTTCCCCGACGAAAGCAAAGTGGGCGTGGTGGAGCTTCGATTAAAAGGTTTCGAAAGTGGTCCAGGGGCCGGGGTGAAGCCCCGAAAATTTCGACAGGTTAAGGGTTTCAACCTGTTGTTGGACATATTATAAGAGAAGAAGGTGGAATTGAAAGACATATCGTCGAGATGGAATTGAAGGGGAAAAGGGCGAAAGGAAGGCAAAGGATGAAGATGCTTGATTGGATGAAAGAAAAGCTGAATGTGAAGAATGATGTAGAGCTTGGGAATATTGCGAGAGATAGAAAGAGATGGAAAAAGACAGGACAGACACTGACAGACAATCCATGAACGCCTACGGCATAATATGCTATGGTACATGAAGAAGAAGAAGGGGTTTCAAAGACTTATTTAATCGAATTTAGAAAATGTGTAGAAAATACATATAATTTTTTTTTAAATTCCCGACGAATTGTACTTTTCCTCCCCTACGGGGGCCCTGCCTCCCTCTCGCTGGCGCCACCCCTGATCCAGTAAAAAAAATTTAAAAAAAACCTACTGTATCATGCTATAAAATTCACTTGTCTTTAAGAGTACAGTAACATAATTTCTGACTTATTGTTATACCATTATTTTATTTTATGTATAAGATTCAAATTAATGCTTACATTGATCGATCGGTGTTTAGACCGATGACGTATTCATATTGCTTGTAATCCACATCTTCCTTTTCATAGATCCACAATTTGAACAAATTTTCTCTCTCAGGCATCCAGCTTTCTCTGGATTTTGCATCTACGATAGCCATATCAGCGTAGTTACGATCAAAACATTTACAGAACCTGTGTCTGTATCATTATAAATATAAAATTTCATCTTTTAAACAAAAGAATATATATTTTTTAATAAATATAATTTACGTGCGTAAATCTTGTATTACGACTTACGTTTTTAGATTTTCGACAGTTTCGTCTGCAGCTGAGGAAGAAGTCAAAATTATGACTGATGTAGATACAAAAAGGTTGATTTGTGTCGAATGATACCGCCTCTTCAACGGATAACTCACGAGATCCTTTTTTCGTTTTCTAAACATTACCATTCGATCTTGTTTCTGAATCCAGTCATCTTGTATATTTGACAACTTCTGTACTTGCAAAGAAAAGTTCAATCAATAATACACATTCAATAATAGTGCATTAAGTAGCGGAGCAAACAGTTTACGGATTCATTGATGATGCTTCTCTGTTGACGGAACGACACTTTTTATTTACTTCATTTATAATTATATTTATTGTTATTATTTATTTATTTTATGATTATTATAATTATCATTATCATTATGATTATCATTATCATTATTGGCTTTTCTCAGCATTAGCTGGAAAATTCATTGTTTTTGTAATAAATTAAATTTTGAGGACCATTCAAAAGACAAAATTAATGTCGGACCAGATATTCCAAAAACAGATCTACTGATCTGAATGAAACTTTCGGGAAAGTTTAACTTTTAAGCTACAAGGAAGACATTATTCAATTTTGGTTCGGGTGTAAATTTGAGGGTAATTTACAATACTAAAGTCCCAAACTTATATATTAAAAACTCACCAATGGATCTAAATGAAATTTTATAGTTTTGATTATGATTAAATTTTGGTGAGTAGGGTGTGAGCATGAGGACCACTTAAAGGAAAAACGTCCCAGACCAGATATCCCATTTTAATTTTTATTAATACATAACTCCATCATATTATGGTTTATATAAAAATGTTTCACAAACACTGAATTTTACTTGAATAAAATGAGGCTCGTTGATCGTATCAATCGGTAACATCAGTAGTACAGAGGTGACGTGCTTGCTATAGTCTTGTTCAACACTTTCTTTGAGATGCTGTCCACGAAGAATCAGCTGATGTAACATGTGTAATGTATTCGCATTTAAGAGGTGAAATATTTCCCGGTGGTCTGGGTCCCGTATAATTGCGGCCTCTAAAGACTGAAGCAATGTAAAACTGCTTGACCAGTGTAGATTTTAAGTTTAAAAGTCTTTGGTTTAGTACCGGCACTTTTTGGACCAACATTTTATTGTTTAAAGATATGTTACAAAAACACATTAACCATCATCGTGGTACTATAATATGCAATAAACCTATATCAGGCAACTGTTTTATGCTATTAAACCACATTACCTTTAATTCGTCGTAAAGCCTTGTTAGCCAATCGGCTGGTTCGGACAGCCGCATCTGAAAGTCCATTTGAGAGACACACCATTTAGCATGAGAATTTCTTTCTAAGTTTCCAAGTGCCTGACTGAATGCTGTAGAGTGTTTTCTATTAGAGAAATTTATTAATTTATTAATGCATTAAAAAATTAAACGACACCAAAATGATTGTTATTTTAAAGTATTCTGCTGAAGACTGTTGTAATAATAGGCGCTTTACGCAAAAGGACGGGGAGACGTCGACAACGGAAATTCGGGTTAAGCGCCCTATTGTTTACTGTGGCCTTCAAGCTCTGACTAGCACAAAATCAACTCATATCCGTCTTCCCGTCCTGTTGCATAAAGTGCCTATTATAGCAGAGTCGGGACAAAATATAGATAATCAAATGAATTAGCATTAGAGGCCTATAGGTCTAGTTGTTTATTCCATTCACCCGATAGGCTTCACTAAAATATTTTTCTCATATGTTTGGTATTCTCATTCTATGTTCATGGGTTTGTGAATGTACAAAACACCATTGAATATACTTTCAAAAAACGTGAAATAATCGTTTATCTATTTAAATGAATCCAAAATTTATATCAATGTAAATACAAATAATAATAATAATAATAATAATAATAATAATAATAATAATAATATAATTACTATTATTA